ATGGCACAGAAATACTGAGATGGTAAGATTTGTTTTGAAACTGTAGTGTCTTTAGATAGCCCAGTCTCAGTAGTGACATCAGCAGCCTCAGCCCTGGCTTGGCTCAGTGTGTGTTGGACACTGGCACAAAATTATGAGGAGTTTCACCTTCAATTGCCTCTGCTGCAGCAACTGTTCCTTAGCTGAATGCCCCTCTAATTGCAAAAGACAAAAAGTTGTAAATGTTGCAGTTGTTTTGCTGACATTCTAAATTAATCTAATTTTTAAAAAACCACAAAACAGGAATTGAGCAAGGCAACATGGATAAATCTCTAAATAAACAGAAGTTGAAGAAAACCACTCACAGAATATGGAAATTCTATGAAATTCAAAAATTGGCAAAGCTTAATATACACACAATAAAGAAAAGCAAGGAAGTGATTCATTTCAGACTTGAGGCAGTGGCTGACTCTGGAGGGGACAGGTGCGTAACTGGGCTCACATGGTAGGTGGCGGGCATGTGTGTGTTTAGAGTCTTTCGTTAAGACCCTGAAAGATGCTACCTCAAGGAAGCTTCCCAGGTACACCATATTGCTTGACAGGACACTAGGTTGGAAACCAGCCAAGTAACTGAAAGCAAGTAGGGGTTTCTTAGCTGCTTGAACCTTAGCCCAGGCATCTCAGAGTTGGTAGACTGCCTGAGCAGGGGAGAACTAACTCACCTCTCAAAATGCTAGTCTACAAACACAGGCCTGTCAGCAACAAACACCAGCCCCTGCTTCTAACAGATCTGCTCTGATCTTACTGCGTTTAATATGAAGCCTGTGATTACAGCCTTGTTTGAGGGGCTCCACATGGCACTTTTCAGAGGAATCCCAGCTTTCGGTAGTGGAGGACGCCGATCAGTGTTCTCAACCCCTCTGCTCTATAAAATGCAAAAAGAAGTTGGGATTATTAATTAAATACTGACCCAAGCAATATTAGGGATTGAAAGAACCATCTTATAAAATGTGCACCCAATAAGCAGTTTTCACAACAGCAAATTCTAGGATTGCCTGCTGTTTCTTACCCTAAATTCAATAAATGCCAGTGGTCAGCAACAGTGAGGAACAGACAGCAGACTTTGAGACCCATCTGAGTCAAGCTCAGCTAAATTCCGCCTGCTCCATCCATGGCAGACTGGTGGTGTCATAAACTCCTAGGGGAGGGAGGGGCGTTAAGTATACCATCTGTCAACTCAAGCTTTCTTAATCTGAAGGGATAGCATCAACCACAAGAAGGAAACTATATGGAGTCAAAACATTAGCAACACTTTCATCTTGATAACCAACAGGTACGAAATCCTACTCCTCTGAAGGCTCCCAAGCTGGTGCATGGCAAATCCTCAGCAGAGGGGAAATTAACTTCTGCCATCCTCAGCAAGAATGTCTTTTATTCCACCCGCCGTCTCTGCCACACCTACCTAAAGTGCTGGGGTTCGCTGAAAAGGTCAGGCAGCCAGTCTGTCCGAGAACATGATGACTGGTTTGCTGTTCTCTTGCTCACAGCCCTGAACATCTGGTGTGTAGGCTACTCCTTGCTGGGACACACAGGATTTGCTACTGTGCTAACTGGGTGACTAGAAGTAAAAAGGAACATACATTTTTAAATGGCACTACAGTCCGGTTTCTAGATCACACCACATACATCTTGGGCTAAATAGATATTAAATAATATCTATTTAATAACATCTATTTATACACAAATAGTGTTTGGTCTGAGCTAAATATCACTGTTAGAGAAGTGGCTGTTTAGAGAACAAGGATGAGTTTGAAATTCTAGCCCCCAAACTTGTTACAACTACTAAAATTGTCACAACTTTCCAAAGTTCGATGCTAGGCAGGAGCTTGTGAGTCTTCCCTACACATGCAATTACAAATGTTCCCTTTTATCCGGGGTTGGCAGAACTCGTTTTGTATTTCCCACCCCAGTTACAATTCCTAGTTGTGAGGCTTTGTGCAGTGCCTCCTGATGTTTTCTGAATATTATCAGCAGCATTAAGGCTGTCCCCACAGATTTACTTCCAATGTTTTGCATACTTTGTATCACTAAAAAAAAAATTTTTTTTGGGGGGGGGGTGGTGGTGTTAGGATTGGAGCTTGAATTCAGAGCTTTGAGCTTGCAAAGCAGTCACTCTACCATTTGAGTGCCTCCAGACCAATTTGCTCTGGTTATTTTGGAAAGGGGAGTCTCCTGAACTATTTGCCCAAGCTGGCCTCAAAGTGGGATCCTCCTGATCTCAGCCTCCCAAGTAGTTAGGACTACAGTAATGAGCCACCAGCACAAAGTTGTATCTTTAAATGCTTATAAGCTTTTGTTAGCCAATAGTACTGTTTTTCCGGAGTTTATCTAGGTAACATTCTATTTCCCTACCTGATTTTGCAAACGTGATTACAAAACTGCTTACTTAACTGAGGTGTTTTAGTAGACTGTGTAACATATCTCACGTAACTGACAAAACTTGTAATTCTCACACATAAAATGCATACCTGTATTTGAAATTATTCAGGTTTCACAGTAAATCCAAGTGTTTGGCTACTGACACTGCTGTGCTCATCAGATGGGACAGCCAGAATCTATGTGGCCGCAGTCGCTGATCTGGTACCGAACTCAGGGTGGTCAGGAATTCCAAGTATTCCTTCCGCTTCAGTCTTGGGCCCAAGTTGCAGGTCTCCAAGGTCAGCCTTCCTCTCCACTTCGTGAGCTCACATACCCAAGACGGCAGGACAAGTGAGGACAGACTGCTACTTGTGCCAGAACCAAGTCTTCCTAATGGAACCCTGAGTTCCTTTGTGTTGCTACTGGTTCACATCTTAGAAATACTGTTTAGTTAACATTTACTATTGGCTTATTACATGTAAGGCCAAAGGTAGTTTGTGTGGGTGAATTCTCACTCCTAGCAGTATTCTAGTTATCCCTGTCTTATAGGTGAGGAGACCAATGCGGGGGGGAGGGGGAGGCTGTGTAAACTACACATCAGACGTGCAGAACTGAGAAAGGTCACTTATTATTTTTTAATCAAAAAATAATCTCTGCAGACTCAAACAAGCCAGTCCTCGAGGGTGAACGAACTTTGAGTACTTCGCTTGGTTGAGGTAATGGGCATCAGATACCACCTCAAACCTGTTTTGGCTATATGCCCAAACATGCGCAAACTACTCCTTCTCTGACCTCAGAGACCTCGAACTCTGTCCCATCTAGTACTAAATTACTGTGACGTTTGGATTGTGTGTCCCTGGGACACTTCACCTGCAAACTGCCCCAACCATCCTATGGCTTCTCACATAGCACGGCCCTGCAGGGCTGCCTCTGTCCCTCCTGGGTCTCCCACTTCCCAGCAAGCTCCCGTGCAGTCCATGCTGGGAGACAAGCTGTTGGACTATCTGCCCAGTGGCTTCCTCCTTGCTCAGTTCTCATTTATATGCAGGCTGAGAAGTCTCTAGTTTCAAGATGCTTCAAGAACAAGGACAGTATGTCAACCTGTGTGCTGCCCCCTGCAACTACATGGACCCAATCACCAGGTCCCAAACCAGCAATTTTTCAATGGATGGGGTTTAACCATCAGAGTATTTAGCTACCAACAGACAGTATCACTTCTCTTTGTTTTATACTGGTACCACCTCCTGAGACCAAAAGTACTTTTTAAAGAAAATAATCTAAGAAGTCTTTGCTCCCATTTCGGACTGAGGAACAGGATATGCTTCTGTTTTCTACCCTCTGTGCTTCTCCTTATAAACTTAGAAATACTGTTGCTTTTATTAAGAATAAATAAACAAACCTAAAAGAAACTGACACTAATAACTCTAACTTTCATTTGCTGAAAACCTGTAATGGCACTCTATGCAAAGTGCTCAGAAATGCTTCACTATCCCTGCCTCAGCATCAGGTCTTAAGAGAGCTCTAACCAAAGGCAGGCACCTGAGAATCCAGCCAAGGTCCAGTGGACACATTCTCAGCACACCACATTACTTCACGCAAGATTCACTATGGAGGAAGTCACAGCTGCCTGTTCTCAGCCAGGGACACTGGCTCAGTACTCAGATGATGGTAGCCACTAGGTCAGAGACACATGGGGACAAAGGAAAGGACTTAGGACACTGGTGAGGCCTCAAGCTCTGTCACCACATACTAGTCTTACTGAGCTTATGTCCTCAAACCAAAGACTTCGCTCTCCACTTAACCAATGCTACATAGTTCTTTTCCTTGAAGTCATTTTAAGCTAGACACCACACACACTCCAGGACTGGTATAACCCAAGTAGGGCAGACTAATTTGCCTCCTTCTGGACTTTTGAAATCCTAGAAATGACAGATTCAGAATGTTTGGGGAAGAACTGCCTCTGACACAACCAGTAAGCACTTATTTTTCTCTTCTACGTCAGAGGTTTGGGAGAATGTGATGTGGAAATACTAAAGGATGCAAGATGGGATTCGTCCCAGAAGCGGAGCAGGAAGGTCATGGAGTCTAACCCCACCCCTCACCAACAGAGCAGCAGACTGGGGCCAGATGCCTTAGGACCACCAGCTCGTTAGCACAGATGGAAGTCTGGACCCTAGCTTGCCTGGGCTTGTCCTTCCACCAAACAGGTTCTTACCAGGAGGTACTCTCACCACCCACAAAAGGAACCAGTTTGTAACAACAAAAACAAAAACAAAAAACAAACAGAGCTATAACACAACTCTGTTCCATGAGAATTAAGGAAGGGGGAAGAGATCAAAAGATTTACACATGAAAACACAGGTGGATGAGTCAGAATGATAAGGACAGTAGCTTTTAAATTGATCACCAAGTTCAAGTGAACCTAGATAATAAGAAAACATGGATAAAGAGTAAGCTTCACCCACCCAAACAGGAGGGGAGGGCAGTGCCGGCTCTTCACTCTTAAGTCACTCCTAGGTAAAAATGCTTAAAAACACAGGCATCTCCATCATACATGCCTCTGGAAAATAGGCTACTTGTAGCAGACAAATCCAAGATGAAACTGGGGTTTCCAGAGCAATTTATTCATTAAAATCTATTCAATATGCCATCAACAGTTCTCCTGTGTGTATTGTGCTGATAAACAGACACTGAGAAGATTTAACAAGTTTGTCATTTAATAAGTTTGAATTCATTTTCACCACATGGTATTGTACACGGTCATCTGTTGAAACAGATTTCTTTTGAACAGATCTTAGTTTAAAAAAGTCATAGATACTGTGAGTTCTGTATAAACTGGTGGACAGCAAGTTAGTTCCTTTGTTTTGACTTATAAGCCTCAACTTCACCGTAGAATAAAGAGTGTAGGCCAAAGAAAGCATAATCGGTCACTCGTATAGAACAGTATTGTTTCTATAATTTGAAGCTTTCTGAATGGACGAGTTCAGGCCTGATCCAACTGTAAAAAGATTGCTTAATGAATAGACTATATGGAAATTGTACAAAATGTTACTAACTTTAATCATTAATAGCTTAAACAGTACTATATTACTAACAGCTATTCAAAATCAAAAACCTGTTTCTGCATCCCCAGGGAGGTGGCATGTGTACACAACCATGCCACTATGTCCTCAGGGGTGAGTCACTACATATTCCAACGGAAACTTTGGCTTTCGGAAGGAGTCACAAGCATTTAAAAGAATGGCTTTAACCGTCATTTGAAGTGGTACGTGGGGAAAGTGTGCTTTAATTAAACGTCCTAGCAGTGATGCTGGAGGGTGAAGGTCACTCCTACCGTATAAAAACTCTGCACAGGACAACACAAAATGAGAGAAAAAGCAATCCCTTTGAAACAGAATTTTAAAAAAATGTTCACAGTGGTTTCTAACAACAGTATGCATTTCATGACAGCGTGTACAGTCAGAGCACCCTAGGGCTCTTTATGCTAAAGATAACAAGCATTTACATTATTCATGGTTTGTACTGAGTTAAAAAAAGTTCAATCGCACACTTACCCTCAGACAGGGCACTCTGTCCCAGGGTGGACAGCTTCAATGCCATCATTGCAAAAGGAACAGGGCATTAAAAAACAAAAACACTTTTTCTTGGGAATGGAGTGTCTTTCATTTGCTGATATAACCAGCAAATGCCATTCATTAAATCAAAATGGAAGGAGGGTCCCCACAAACACAGATCTATCTGAGCAAGCTGACCGGTACACATTACAGTTTTAAAAATGAAGGTTATATACTCTATGTTACAAGTCCCAACTAGGCAGTGTCAAAATGACATCTATTTCTTTGCTTGCTTTGTGATCATACCCCTTGGAGGTGTGACGGGTCTTGTGGCATTCGGCTTCTTTTTCTCTGCAGGTTTTAAAATCTAGAAAGATTTAAAAAAAGACAGTGCATTTTAGGAAATTAAGTCACCCCCAAATCTTCTAAAATATTTTGTAACTGCTTGTTCAGAGAGGTTTCTGGCTGTTTTAAATCACCCAACAACCGAAAGCCTCACTGTATAATAACACAAAGCAGGCCAACAGTTAACGGCTGCCATGATGAACAAATAAAACTTATTATCTATGATTTTCTCCCTCTGGTAAGCAACAATTTTAAGTTCACAGAACCTCTAGTTAGAATCCTTCAGATCCAAGGGGGAAATCTTCAGAAAAATGGCTCTCAAACTCCTGGGGAGGAAGACTAAGTCCTTGCAAATCTGTGGAAGCTGCAAGTTCTCCCTGGTAAGTGGTTTCAGTTCACTTAATTGGTAACTGCCATCAGACTTCCTTGATTGTATTTGTCTATGACTACATGAACTTCAAATTAGTCATGTTTATCATAATAAGCAAAGGAGACAAAGAGTGAGGCATCTTAGGTATTACTTTTGTGACAAATGAAGGTCCAATGATGACATTGTGCTTCCACATATAGTTTTGTGGAAATGACACTAGGAAAATCAATAGAACTATGTAATCACACAGCACATAGGCACCCAGTGGTGAGCACTATTCTCTCACGCAAACAATCGTTTAATTTTGGCCTAACATTACAAAGACCATGGTTTTAAATAGCTTAAAAAAAAAAGTCATAAGCATAAGGAGCTAGTATACTGTCTTGTTTTTACCCATTTCGTAATTCAACAACAGTTAAATTCAACACTGGAGACTGCTGGAGTGGCCCAAGTGGTAGAACACCTGCCCAAAACACACACACACACCCACACTCACACTGGAGGAAAGGTTTCATGTTGTTTTGTCCCATGTAGAAGGCATCCACACATAACTCACACAGGATGAGCACTAGTCACAAACACTGGAAAGTAAAAATTTAGCCTATTTAACATAAGTGAACAGTGAGGGGAAAGTTACAAATTTTTAGGGCAGCAGAACTCAAACTTAACAATGCTGAAATGTGCTCTACCTGAAAGGAACACATTAGCGTTTCGTCCACGCTCATCATGGCACCTGCATTGTCAAACTCTCCACAATAATTGGGTGCAGAAAACAGAGTGACCAACTGCCTCTTTGCAAAAAATTCATATCCATCTTCAACCACCTTGAAGAGAAATGTTTTTCAGTGTTAAGTAGATGCAAATTTTAGGTGAGTAAAAGCACTCTTCAGTTTCCCACTGTGCCTGTAGGTCATTTCCAGAAATGTTTTGTATAAATTAGCAATACCTACCCACCAAAATCAACAAGGAGAATCTGCGCTCACACACATGCTCTTAAGTGTACATGTAAAATTCAAAATCAATACCTGATGGGCTCTACATATAAGATCCAAATCATGCTTATGGAGAAATTTTGCAACCACTTCTGCACCAAATGTGAAGGACACTCCTCTGTCATTTTCACCCCAGCCTAAGACATCTTTATCGGGGTCAGACCACAAAAGATCACAAAGAAGACCTTGATCTGGCACGTCAGTTGGTCGCATAATTCGCCTAATCTGCTCCATAGATTGAAGATCTGGCGACAAACCTGTCAGGTGAGAGACGAACTGTGAAAAGGCGTCACACGTTAACAGTTCCATTCGTCTGCAGACTCAGCGACACCAGCACCAAACTTAAATTAAATCCATAGTTTACTTACTTAGTTTTGGTTGAAAGAAAAACCCTAAAAACCCAGACAGCTCCACAGAGCTCACAACAGAACTTCTTACACACACTAATACGCAGACATAGCAAGTTTATCTTCGCCTTTTTTTTTTTTTTTTGCAGTACTGGGGCTTGACCTCAGGGCCTACACCTGGAGCCACTCCACCAGTCCCTTATTTTGTGATAGGTTTTTTCCAGGGCTGGCTACAAACCACGATCCTCCTGATCTCCGCTTCCTGAGTTGCTAGAATTACAGGTGAGGCACGGCTCTTTTCTTTTTCATTCAGGGACTTGTGCTCGGTAGGCAGGGGCTCTACCAGCCCTGAGCCACTTCCCCCCGCACATCGTAAATTTAAACAGTACACAGACAATGGCTTCCACATACTGAATCTATTTTGTTTTGTTTTTGGGACTGGGGTTTAAACTCAGGGCTTTGTACTTGCAAAAAACACATACAATCTTGTACAACTCAAATTCAGTGACTTTAGAAACTCCTCTGCATGGCTCCAAGATGACGAGAATGAGTGAAGCCCACACTCAATGTTGTCACTAGTGCTGTACCAACTGGGCACAGAAGGTGCAGGTGCTCAGGGTGAGGCAGCTCTAGGAAAGCTCTGCTGTCCACAGGCCCTCGGATCTCTCTGGTCAGCTAAGATGTAGCCTATTCTCAGCTGAGTTAAGAGTCTCATGACCAACTGTAGCCACACCTGGCTAGGAGGGCAGGGGTATGGTCTTTATTAAAATACCTTATGGCAGCTCTTTGATATTTGTTTAATTTCTGACCAAAAATAAATCTTTCAATTATGGTTTTAATTATCTCATACACAGCACAAGCACCGAGCAAAGCAAAAGAGCTTTTAGAATCACGTCAGAAAGGTTGAGATAAGATGGAAAACAGCTCAAGGGGAAATTTACTCACACTCTCAGTATTCTAGCGATCCATGGCTCGGCAAGTTAGCTGCTGTTCATTTTGTATTTAAAATTTTTTCTGCTCTGTTTTCAAATTAAACTGATCAGAGGGGCTAGAATTCCCTGTAACAAATCAGCTTTTTATTTCAGACTTCTATAAAAATGATTCTGGCTGTGTCAATCTGAGAACATGAGACGTAAAATCAAAAAAGGCAGGAGCTGGTAGCTCACGCCTATAATCCTAGCTACCCAACAGGCACAGATCATGAGGATCGCAGTTTAAAGTCAGCCTAGGCAAACAGTTCTCAAGACCCTATCTCAAAAACACCCATCACAAAAAAGGGTGGCAGAGTGGCTCAAGGTGTAGGCCTTGAGTTCAAGCCCCAGTACCGCCCAAGAAAAAAAAGGAGAGTGACCTGACAGAGGAAGTCACCCCAAGGTTAACTCTCAAATGGATTTAAAAGTCAGTCCACACACCTCCATGACAGCAGAATATTTTCTCATCCACGATGGCTGCTATCGGTAAACAGTTAAAACAGTCTGTGAAAGTTTTCCATAGTTTAATGTTGTATCTTCTTTTACCTGTGAAAACATGGAGGGTTAGAGATAATCATTGTTCTGTAGCTTCATCCTTCAAAGTGAGGCTCTGCTCACCTTTTAAGTAAACAAAAGGTTGTTTGCCTTTATTCATAATCTCCTGAAGGGCTTAGCAGTGGACGTAAAAGCATACAATACAAGGGAGTTCTGATCTATGAGCAACCATTTACATTTTCCCATGGAGTATTTAAAAATGCGTGAAATCAGAATCCCAGGTAGGATATATCTAAGGATTACCACCAAACCCCAACAATTATTTCACAGCACCAATTCTGTTTAAAATCACATCTTTATTCCTAAATGAATTTGTCCTTAGTGGATTTTCCTTCCCTGTCCTAGAGGAACAGACCTCTAGAGGGACATCTAGAGATCTCTCATGTGATGCTCCTTTTGAGTTAGAGGTGGCATAAGCAACAGATTCCCTGAACTAAACCTCTCAACCTAGTGCAAACCAACCAGGCCTTAACAGGTTCTAGTTCCTTAATGACTAGGAGTAACTGACTCATCACCACCCTTTGGAGGCCACAAATTCCCTATTCCCACATTTGCTTCCCTGGAGGGTCTGGAAGTTCAAATTCCTCTATACAAGAGGCTGAAGGGGGACGGTGCACAACCAACACCTCCAGTTTCCAGCAGTGCTGCTGATACAAACACCACAAAGCCAGGCTAGACTATTGTAACCCCATTTATAAAGTGATCTGGTTCTGTTTTCTCCTGAAGCTCATCTGAGCACCCCATCCATGGTGTTTTCCTGGGCTATTCCTTTCCTGTCCTGCATTTGGCATTGCGGATTTGTCTTCTTCCCCCCTGGGAGACAGCTTCTTGCAACACTCTCTAGCTCTTCTTCGCTATCTGTCTTTGTTGCCTCCTCCACCAAAAGTCAGTTTGGTTTTCTCCCTGCTATTGTTCCGAGCACCAACTCTCAGCTACTGTCCTTTCTCCCTTCTCTACTACATCTGTGACAGCACAGCTCCAATCACAGGGGGACTGGAGAGCATTCTCATACTACTGAATGATGCCTTTCCAGAGCCATATTAGAAAAAGTATTTATTACACTTGGGAAATAAGTCTATCGCTTCAAAATAGTGGGGATTTTGGGGGATGGGGTGATATTGGGGTTTGGACTCAGGGCCTCAGGCTTGCTAGGCAATTGCTCTTACCACGTGAGCTATACCTGCAGTCCCCAAATAGTGGTTTTTAAATTCTTCCATAGAAATCTGCATTTAATGTAGATTTTTTTTTTTTTTGAGGTACTGGGGGGCTTGAACTCAGGGCCTATACCTTGAGCCACTCCACCATAACTTTTTTGTTATGGATTTTTGCAAGATAGGATCTCATGAGCTATTTCCCCAGGCTGGCTTCAAACTGCCATCCTCCTGATCTCTGCTTCCTAAGTATCTAGAATTACACGCGTGAGCCACCACCACACGGCTAATTGTCAATTTTAAAAAATAAATTTGAACATTCTTTAAAAAAGAAAAAAAAGACATCTACATGTGAATAAATCTTTTCGTTTTATTTAAACTATCAACAGTTTTAAAGAATGTCTGCGAGCTATCAGACTGACATTTCTTATGAAGGACACTCATGCCCACATTAGGCTAGCCCAAAAATACATGCTTGGTGGGAGAAGGGCAAGCTTGGGCACAAGGCCTGCAAATGTCCTGAAGACTGAACAGGCATCAAAGCTGGTATCAACCAACATCTAAAGCATTTCAGAAGACCACTCCCTTAAA